CCACTCAAAGCGCTTGGCATTGGGGAAATCTCAAGCCGGGTCGGGTCTCACCCGTGCCTTGAAATTGAAGCCTTCTGGAACAGAAATGCACACCACCCGTTATAGTCCCTTCTGAGAAAGCTGCTGGGAAGATACCTGGAAGTTAACTCCCCGTCTTTTGTGATGGATCTCAACCATGAGTCTTTTTGAAGGAGTAAAACAAAATTTTCAATGTGTTCTAAAAAAAGGACGATAGAAATGTCGCAATCCCCAATGCACTGTGTGAAATCCTCCTTACAAAATTGTATCCACAACTTCAGACAATACGGTAGAATCTTACCAGACGTGGTTTTGGTCTCTTTTTTAAAAAAAATATTTTAATATGCCTTTCAAATGAATAAAATATGACTCAGTTATTCTTTGTTGTTTATAACATGTGATTAATTTTAAACAATCATTGAAAACAGCCTGAATGACATCACCATGCATGTGAATGTGGTGTAATTAAAACCCAACATTGTTTGTAAAAGAGCAACACATCATCAAAGACACTATCCTTAATTTGTTTTATTACGCCCAATTTATTTTTAGATGATGTATTTTTATATTAGCAAAGGTACGCTTTGATAGTGGGGGTTTATATAGAATAACTAAAGTCAGCACTCTTTCAAACATTATTCATTCCAAAATCTTAATACTAAGCATGGAGAGAGTCACAAATGAGGCTACCAAGAATTAACTTGAGTATTTGGTATTAGGAATGATGAATATACGAAATAATGTTTTTATTCAAATAACTATATTTGATCACATCCAAGAGTTTGTAACGTGTATGCTAAATACAATTGGGACAGCTATGTTTGGCTAAATTGTTGCAAAAATATAAAAGTTGTGGCTTAATTATCTTTTTATAAAAGAATTAGTCACAACTTTTATATTCTTACAAAAATTTCCAAAAATACCATAAAAGTATTTAGTGGAACCTATATTAAACAAATCTTCAAAAAAGATTTCATAATTTGTGTATGTTGTGTATATATATATATATATATATATATATTGTTCGTAAAATAAGTATAAACAAAGATAAACACATCTATAATTTTGTTGATTCAATCTTTAAGATTATTTATCTTGTGGTTTACCATTCTTATTGTGTCTTGATGTTGCCATATGGAAATATTGTTGCTTTCATCAAATAAGTTTAATACTTCTGTGATAATAAGTGTATGTATGTATGTATGCATATATATATATATATATATAAATTTCAATATTTTTAATATGAACATAACTCATTATTATTATCATTATTACAATTGTAGGTGTTCACAGTAGTAACCCACATCGTTTTTTTCGAAAGTCAATTTATTTTTAAATCAGGGAATTCATTTTGGTTCTGTCCAACATTGTGATCTATATTTTGGCGACTCTTGGTCCCCAAAAATCTCAATGACTATTGTAAAACATATACCATCATGAACCATATGCTTCAAAAAAAAGTATTTACGTTTCATACTTACACTTTATTAAGAAAAAGTTACAAAAACCAACAAGCAAATAAACAGTGTAAATTCTAATCTAGTAAGTTAGAATGCTTTTTACTGACAGAGAAAAAACTAAATGAAGTATATTTCAACTGAAATAGGAATATATGGTACATCAGCACAATTATAATTTTCATGAGCATTTATGAAGATCTATTTTAAATCAAGCTAACTCGTCTTCTGAATGATGTAAGTTTTAACCAAAGAAAAATTTATTCATTTCGAATAGTATTTGAAATGGTTATTGCTTCACAAAATGTGAACTAAGTGAATCCTCAATTCAATTCAATGCTTTTAAATTATTTGCATATTAAACTACGTTGTGAGTATAACTTTTCTAACACTTTTGTTTTCATTGTGAACAATACATCGACTATTTTTAATAAGAATATAGTAGTATTGATTATAAATAAACTATTCAAATATGAATAATAAATTTTTTTATCTATATTTTATGAATTAATAGATTTTATATGATGCTCTTTTGTGATGTATGTACATATACCTTCACGTGCGCACACACACACATGTGTGTCAATGATCATAGAGTTCTATTTCGAAAAAATTCAAAAAAAACCATTGCTTATTGTATGAAAATACGTATTCTATAAGAGATTGTCATGTTTAATTGCTTAACAGTGAATTTGATTTTGAGAGAATGCACACCACACTAAATTTAATTATATTGTCGATCATTATAATGAATATAAACCACTGGTAGAAAAAAAAATGTTTCAATAATAAAGTTTTGATTTTTTTCACTTTCTACAGTCTTTAGAAACATATTAAATACTTTAAAGAACGACTGGTCAACAAATCATTGCAATGAGCTCTAATTCGAATTTAATTTTTTGAAGTTTGGGAGCAATCATTTTCAAGAAAAACAGTTCTTTGTGTACGTGAACATGCAAGTTGCCAGTATTTTAGAAAAAAAAGTCATTGGAAGTATATGTTCATAATTTATAACATTCAAATAAGTAACATGAAAAGAGAGAAGAAAAAGGCCACCTCCAATCTCATCCATTATTTTCTTAAACCATATTTAAATTGTGATTCATGTACTTTGATATAACCATTCAAACACCAAATTTAATCATATGTTTATGTATATATATATATATATATATATATATACTTTTTTACACACATACATACATACATTTACACATGGTTTAAAAATAAATAAAACAATGAATCACTTCATAATGAGCAATGAATTAAAAACACTCATTTAGAAACTGTGTTAAAATTTCATCAATTACTCATCAAACCAATTTAATCATACTCTCCATTCAAAAAACTCAAAAAAAACGATATACAAATAGTAACGTTCCCACAACCAAGGATCTAACGTTATCACATGTTCACAATCCACGTATTCAAATGAAGAAACCCCGATAATAATAACAAAAATAAATACTATTTTATTTGCAACCAATGGTCAGCACTTGTGGATGAGCCTTTTCCCACAAGTTACAATTAGGAAACATCCACATAACAAACGGAGAGTGGGAAAGGATCCAAGGGGGCCCATTCAAGCATTTGAGCCAAGTAGCACTTTAGCCCTAGAATCCAAAAACAATTCAAAGTGGGAAGGGAAAGGGGGAGAGAGAGAGAGAGCGGAATCCAAGTATTGTGTTGTGAGTTTCTAGAACAATCTAGAAGAACGATCGAATGAACGAACTACGACGTGTCTTCGTTGGCGGCTCCGTTTGACCAGGAGCAGGGTCTCCTTCCTAGCCACCTTCTTGTTACCGTCAACATTCCTTCCTCCCCAAGGTGCCTGGCCCCACTGACCCCACCGACCCCTGCTTCGGCGGGCTGATGCACATACCCCATACATACGAATATTCAATACATCATCGTGATACAGTACATGGAGACGCGAGCTCCAGTGCGCCTGAAATGGGACGGGGAGGGTGGTGCGGAGAAAGGGGAGGTGCTCGCTCTGGTGAAGACGTTGCGCGGTAGTATTAACGCCACCACAGATTGTGGCGCTTCCCTCACAAAGTCCGAACAAAGCGTTGGGCCTTGGTAGACGGAGGGAGGGGCATTGCCAGACTCACACGGAGGTCGTGGTGCGGTGTCCACACAGGGCGATCGTTGTTGCCACGGCGTAATCACGACGTGTTGAGTGAGCTAAGCTTGCAGGTTGGCTCGTAATCTCGTTTACCAATTTGGGTTGTGTCTCTATTGAGCGGACGGTGTTGGGAGTGGGGTAGTTTGCCGAGAGTGAACGCAGAGTTTTTGTAGTGTCGAGGGGGGTGCGTGAGTAGGAGAAGCCTGTTTTGGATTGTGGGAGTGGAGAGGAGAGTGTGTGTGGCTTTGTGAGGGTTTGATTGCGGAGTTGGGTTTGATGAGGAAGGAGTTGCATTGAGGGTTGCGAGGGTCGCAACGGCGAGGCTTGAGGGTTTCGGCGCCAGTCGGTGGTGGTGGTCTTGGAACCAGTGGTTGGTGGCGCAACTGGGGTTCCGGACTAGCGACGCACTGGTGGAGTTTGGCTGGAGGTGGAGGAGGAAGTGTCTCTTTTTGTTCTTTTTGTTTATTTTGGGATAGAGTTAAGTTTTATGAGCGAGGAGAGTAGAGATGGGTAACTGTTGTGTCGGTTCGACGACGAAGAAGCCTAAACAGAGACCCAACCCGTTTGCCCAGGATGGTTATCAGACCAACTTACAAATTTTGAAGAACCAGCCGAAGTCCAGAATACTGGACAAGTATAATCTGGGCCGAGAGCTTGGGCGCGGAGAGTTTGGCATTACGTATTTGTGCACGGATAAGGAGACAGGGGAAGTTTTCGCATGCAAATCTATCTCGAAGAAGAAGTTGAGGACTGCTGTGGATGTAGAGGATGTGCGACGAGAAGTCGCAATTATGAAACACTTGCTGGAGCATCCTAATATAGTCACTCTTAAGGGTGCTTACGAGGATGACAATGCTGTGCACCTGGTCATGGAGCTGTGTGAAGGAGGGGAGCTTTTCGACCGCATCATTGCGCGGGGACATTACACCGAGCGGGGTGCAGCGCAAGTGACACGGACCATTGTGGAGGTGGTGCAGGCTTGTCATAGGCAGGGAGTGATGCACCGAGACCTGAAGCCGGAGAATTTTCTGTTTGCGAACAAGAACGAGAACTCGCCGCTGAAGGCCATCGACTTTGGGCTCTCCGTGTTCTTCAAGCCGGGAGAGAGGTTCTCTGAGATTGTCGGAAGTCCGTACTACATGGCACCCGAAGTGCTAAAGAGGAATTATGGACCGGAGGTCGACGTGTGGAGCGCTGGGGTGATTCTTTACATATTGCTGTGCGGGGTGCCCCCATTCTGGGCAGAAACGGAGCAAGGTGTGGCGCAGGCGATTCTGCGGGGGATATTGGACTTTAAGAGGGATCCATGGCCGAAAGTGTCTGATTCGGCAAAGTCTCTGGTACGGCACATGCTGGAGCCGGACCCGAAAGCCCGGTACAGTGCGCAGCAGGTGCTGGATCACCCCTGGTTGCAGAACGCGAAGAAAAATCCCAACGTGCCCCTGGACGCCGTGCGGTCGCGCTTAAAGCAATTTTCGGCCATGAACAAGCTGAAGAAGAGGGCGCTGCAGGTGATTGCTGAGCACCTGGGCGGGGAGGAGATAGACGGGTTGAAGGAAATTTTTGAGAAGCTGGATAGCGACAAGACGGGAACCATCACATTCGAGAAACTGAAAATGGGGCTGATCGAAATCGGGTCACAGCTGACGGAGCACGAAGTGAGGATGCTTATGGAAGCCGCGGACGTGGATGGGAACGGCACGCTGGACTACGGGGAATTCGTGGCAGCCACAGTGCATCTGCAACGTTTGGACGATGACGAGCACTTGCGAAGGGCGTTTGACTTCTTTGACGTCGATAGAAGCGGATACATCGAGACGGAGGAGCTGAGGGAAGCTGTAGGAGAGCCGTTGAATGGATCTCCAAGTGAGACGGATGTGGTACAGGCCATTCTGTTGGAAGTTGACATCGACAAGGACGGGCGAATCAGTTACGAGGAATTTGCGACGATGATGCGAAGGGGTACCGATTGGAGGAAAGCCTCACGTCAGTATTCACGGGATCGCTTTAACAGCCTGAGCATGAGGCTGCTTAGAGACGGCTCATTGAATCCTGATAAAATCGTGGCAGTGAGGTAGTTGGGATGAAATACATCACAAATTCCCCCCTTCCGCAACACCAGCAATGACCGTCTAAGATTTGGGAAGATGAGCCACTCGAGAAATCCTGAAGCGATTCAATTTCAGATTTTGTGCAGGTTTCTTTGGACTTTTCTTTAGGTGTTTATTGAAGGATCATTGTCATTAGTTAATTGTAATTGGTGACGTGATTCCGAAGGCGGACATGGCTATCACAATGCCTACTACCGAAGTTCCTTCGTGGTTCGGGCATTAACGAAAATGCAATTAGCGTTACTCCAGGGAGATTTTCAGTCATTCGGCAGTGTGGAGCAGGCTCAACCTGCCTGACTGACACTATAACTTGGTGCGGGAGGATCACATGAGGAATTTAAATAAAGTAGGTTATCTTGTCGCTGCCAATATAGAATTCTCAGCACCATGTGATAACTTGGAGGAGAGTTTTGGGTGGTAGCTCTGGATCACACACGGGAGCTTCGTATGCATCCAATATCGGGAAAGCAGGTTATAAAGTCAACCTTTGATAGCAATCGAGTTTGTAGTAAACGCTTGGCTACTCGACAGTTTCGGGAATCAAGATGCGGCCCTGAAGAAATGATGGGCAAGGATTGGAGGACAAGATGTTAATGAGGATTTATTGTGAGCTTTTCCGATAAGTTGACTGGGAGTTGAAGCTTCGATGCTGTAATACATTACTCACAGCATCTCTCGATGGCTTCCTGACTTCATGACCTATGAGTACATGAGATCGATGCTACGATCTATATGCTGCCACCGAAATGGATGTAGCGCCTTGGATTAGCTTTCACGATGTTGGAAAGGGGTAGTAATGCCAAGAAAAAGTACATACTGAATGGCTTTCCTGGTGCGTTAACCTAGCTCTCAACCTCCTATGTTCTTGAGTGCCTGAATATCGTGACTACAACGGACCTTTTGAGCTTGTTTTGGTTTTCGACTAAATGGTAATGGTTGGTTCATACCTCGTCCTGACATTCAGTGTTTCTGTTTCTGTTGCAGGCGTACTTCTAGGCGAAGGAGGATTATTGGTTCACAAGCTGTTAGGGGCCTTGCCTGAGGGCCATTTACGTTGTCAATATTCTTCTGATTGAGTAGCCCCTGTTTCAAGTTACTACACTGGTCCCCGTTGTCCTGTATAATTATTCCTTAAATGATTTGTTCAGCATTAATATGAGACGAATGTTAAATTATGTGATATTACTAAGCACTCTTAGTGCAATGTTCCCCCTATAACATGTGAAGAATATATTGGTTGAAGACGCGATACTACTTTGCCCAAAATCGAGGAAGAATTCACCATTCATCTTTGCAACAGACCATATATCGCAGACTGGTGTCTCACTTCTACCACTATAGAATGCGGTACAAGCTGTTGCAATAATCATGAAGTTGCAGCTACATTGAGAACAGTCCCCTCGACTAATGGGTATGCGTGTGAAGGGTTTAAATGTTTGAAGCTTCACACTGAGCTTTCGAGATCTGTTTACATTAAGGTCACCGCACTCAGATGCCAAAGTCTATGCAAGGACATGGGGATGCCAGGTCTGCAGTTTCGGATACGGCAGGAACCCATTTTTCAGCTTCTGATAATGTAACCGTTCCGGGATTGGATTATTTATCAGGGAATCACCGACTGGTTAGTTTTTTTGAAGCTATGCTGGGAAATTATATTGGACAATGGGGGGAGTTTCTGCATTATACAAATACAGGCGGAAATCCAAGTAACCCTAGGATTAGGGCAGGAACTCAGGGAGACCATAGCATATTGGCTAACGTACTGTTGTCTCAGGCCTCAGCTACCTCAATTTCATGAAAGCCTCAAATAGCAGATAGTTGTTGCATCCCCACTTCTCCCTTGGAGTCTTTTTCACCGGTTTGTTCGCTTGGGTAAATACAATTATCCTCTTGTCACAGTTAGTAATTCTGAAGCAATGATAATGTAGCTTTTCATCATTCATTAGCTCTACTACTCTATCCAAAATGGCATAGCCGTGGATTATCTCGTAAGCACCAAGACGAGTCGTTTTCCTGGAAATTTTGGGTTTCTAGTACAAGAGGTCACTATTCATTGCACAATGTAGTCTCCAATCATTCTAACAGTAGTTTGGGATTAAAACCATTTTCAACTAATCAATCTAGAACAAGGTCTCATCATCTCTGCTATTTCAATTATCGATAATGCCCCTAGTTTGTTTGACAGACGTGTTGAATAACAGGTACTAATCTTCAGTACGCCCGTCATGCACATAGTCAACAGGTGTTGATGTCACAGCACTTGAACTTGCTGGCTTGGAATAGGGGCCAAGATCGACACACGTGTTGAGATTTTTCTCAAAAAAGAAAACCATTATAATTTAGTCAATAGAAAGTGAGAAAAAGAGAACCGCTGTTCAGCGCTGTGAGATGGATCTTCAACATTGAATCTTGAATATAGCAATCAGTCCCATTATATTCCTTAGTGTCTGAGACCTCAGGCACCGGTCTTCGCCACTTTCTCGGCGCATTTGTACTATGTGATTGTGTACCTCTCAACGCCACACTACCAAGGCTATGGTTCCATGTATCTGCAAGCTGATGCTCCAGCTTAGTACTTTGGGTACTTAATCTGCTGAACTGTAAGTCTTCTCTGAGTCGCGTCAACTTTTTATCCGCATGATCCAACGACTTTTGTTTGCATTCTTCTGTAACGTGTGGTACTTCCCTCGGGGCTCGAATTATTGTCGAATCTCAACTCTTGTCACTGCAACCTGGTTTGAATCTTCAGAGTCTCTCCAAATCTGACTAGAAATGCGATCAGAGCGAGCTGAACCACAGCAGCTGAAATTCCAAAACACTCTGCTCCTGTGGCAACGAGAATATCACCCCATAGCAAGACCAGGCACGTTCCTTCGTCCGTGACGAAAGAAAAAAGAAAAAAAGAAACTACACGGGCTATGTATCACAGAAGTCGTCGTCGATCCGAGACACTTGAAACTAGAAGCTGTTCAAGGCATATATCGCTTGTCTAAGAAAACAACAGTTACAACTAATTGTGTGTGAGGTGTCCTAGCGTCACACCTGGTCAAGGAGGCACAACCCTTGCAGTTGAACTCTTCTTGACAGTAATATGTAAAACAAACAATAATAAAAGATCAATTAAGTACTTGAAAAGCAGAACTTATACCCTAACCTTAAGTGTGCTTTAAATTCCAATTTGGTATGAGAGCTTCTCTCCGAGAACTTAGCAAAGCAAGTTTCAGAGAAGACGTAATTAGAAACTAGAAATTACACAAGAAGGAGGCTTGTTGAAGACATGCTTCAAAGAAACCTCCCTTCTTATGAGCATGGTTGCAAACAACCTCTCCACTAAAAGAATTTCCCAAGTTTAATGGCTTACTGTCCTCAATTTGAAAACAAAAAATTCAGATGAAATGTGACATGGAAGATGTTTGGAATCTAGTTTCAATGATTGAAATAAACCAACTCCTATTCTAAAATCAAATTCAACATCACCAATAAATCAAAGTAGAATACTTACATGGAAGAAGAAAAATCAAATGGGATTGTATAGATAATTTGATTTTTTCACATGTAAGAGCTTACAAAACAACAAATGAGGCTTGGATGTCTCTTGAAAATATGTACTCAACAAGTGATATAGTTGCTCAAGCTCACTTACAATAAAAATTCATCATACAAAAGATGAAAGCAAGAAAATTAGTTATACAACATCTCTAAAGACTAGGTTTAAGCACAACTATGACCATTAATCCACAAAATTTCATCCATAGATCTGTTATAAAACTCTTGAAATCACTAGAAACATCAACCCTATTTTATTTCACAAACTCCAAGTCATTTGAAAACAACCTTGACTTTGTAAAGCTTTTTCAAAGTCATAACAACTCCAAATTGCACAAAACCAATGCTCATAGAAACCCTATCTAGTCTGCTATCAAATTCCATTCTCCAATCTGCAAAAGAACCCCCAAGTTACAATATGACAACATTCTTTATTATAGCTAGAAAACCTCATTATTTCACATATTTTGTTTTTAGCAATGGTGCTTGTTATTTTCTAATAGTGTTGTTTTTTTGGACAATGTTGAAAAACATACTTAGCTTCTCTACAATATAAGTACAAACCTTCTTAACAACATTGAAATTTTTTTCTATTAAAGGTACAAATCAAAAGAGAGTGCTTTTAGATAAAAATGCACATATGCACCTAACTTGGATAAATCCATTAGCATATAAGAAGAGATGCAACTTTAGATAGAACTTAACTTGTTACAAAAATCTTTGAGATTTTGATCTTATTCCATCAGACTTCTTAAGCATACTAATCCTTGTCCTTGTCATATTTGTAGAAGTAATTTTTTCTAGATTAAGTTGTGAGGTCAATTTACTTGCTTCTTTCAACTACATAACTTCTTAACATTATCAAGGAAAAGAGAGCTTGCCTTGAGAAAGTGCTAGACTTTTGGCTGACTCTAAATTCTCAATCAATCATAAGATGAAAGTTACTCCAAGATTATTTATAATTTTATTTTTATTCCTTTCCATAATATTAAACATAGTAACAATAAACATCAAATTCCAAGCCTCTAATAATAATAAAAGTTAGAGCAATAAATAATAATTATTAGACCTCCAGTAATAGTAAAAGTTATAGTAATAAATAATAATTACTAGACCTTCAATAATAATAAAAGTTGTAGCAATAAATAATAATTATCGAACTTCCAGTAATAATAAAAGTTATAGTAGTAAATAATAATTACTAAACCTTCATTAATAGTAAAAGTTGTGGCAATAAATAATAATTATTGGATCTCTAATAATAATAAAATCAGTCAATAATTTCTAAATCTTTCGTAATTTCCAAAACCCTTTTTGTAGTAGTAAAATCCTTATAATACCAAAATTCCTTCAATATCGAATTCCTTTGATGCACTGAACTTTAAAATTTGATAATTCTCAATTCAACCATTAGATTGAGCTCAAATTATTTGAAAAGTAAGGCAAAACCCTTAATTCTTTTATATCCAATTTTCAACCATCGATTCTTTACAAAACTCTAGACAACACAATTTCAGTAGTATGACCTTTACATGTTGACTTACAAACACATATGTACTAATTTTGCAATTTCTTACAAGCCCATCACTCAAATGTTATGAATATTTTTTGTATAGCTTCTCAATAATATAACTACATCTTTGGCAAGTTTGAGTCAAAATTCATTCAAAAATGCTCAAAAAAAATGGCTCAAAACATAACCATCAACAATTCAGTTCACTTGCTACTTTAATTTGCAAGCTTTGACTTCAACCAACTATTTCTTCCTCACTTCAGATCTGATTTTATCAAATCTTATATAATAGTTGAAGTCCTTCAAGTCAGCTTTTCAACTCCACCTTCCGATTGTTAAATGCCTTTCTACAACTCTTTGTATGCTTGAAAGAGTGATAATAGGTACAAATTTCACATCTAGACTTTAAACAACCATAACTCTCTCATTTCAAACTCAAAGTTAACAACCCTTGCATGAAATTTGTATTTCTTCAAACTGGCTTTTCAACGACACCTTTTATTTTCTAGGAATCCTTCTACAACTTTCTATATACTTAAAAGAATGACAGTCGGTAAACAATTCACACCCTAACTTCAAACAACCTTAACTTCTTCATACAAAACTCAAATAACAAACTTTATACATCAAAATTATAGCCCAAAACACAAGCTTTCTGAATCTTCCCTCTAAATCCTCGAATTTCCCTGAAGAAGTGGTCTCCCCTTCGGTTTTCTCTTGGACAGCCCCTTGAAGTTCATTGGTCATGACCTATAGCCAATGAGAGTGAAGATCCTCTTATCCTTGCCTTATCTATCCACGTAGATGGCCTAAGGCCACAATACTGTAATATCAATATCCATATCTTTCTACATCTTTCATATTAAATAACCCTAATACTTCTATTTTTACTTATAAAACTTACACAAGTTATTTAAGATTTCTATAAACCATGAAATTCTATAGAAAATAACTCATTATTTTCTAAGGTCATTATTAGATAACATCAATATAATAACCATTATTTTTACACTATGAATAAATTACAACAAGACAACGTAGAATCTGAACTTCTTCCATAGGCATAGGATTAATATTTCTATAGTTGGTACTTAAGATGTATAAAATTTCTATCCTAAGAATATTGAAAAATTCTTAAAGATCAATAATAGTTGTAAATCTATTTTCACTTTTGCTAAATATAATATCCATGATTTTTTCTTCTATTTTGAACAACTTAATAAATCTACAAGTCAAATTAGAGGAAGGTAATCTATTATCTAAAATAAAAATTTTCAAAAAGAAGGATACTCCGCTTTCTTTAAAAATGATATTAATATTAGATAACGAAATAGTTTATTTAAAGGTAGAAAATCTGCAACCTTTAAAAGATAACAATAGAAATAGAATAATCTATTCATTTTTAAATAAAGATATAAATAATGAATTAGCATTCTTTTCAAATTATCAAAGATATGACTCACAAAGAATTAAAATATTTATACACTCTTAGGTCACTTGAAAAGACTAAAAAATCACTCAAAGATGATATAGTATTAAATTAGAATGGCTAATGTCAAAGAAAAGAAGACTAAAAAGTCTTGAAATAAGACTAAAGACTAGAAAGGCATTGATAAGAGTGAGAAAGGCTTCACTCTTGCCTCCATATATACTCTTAATTAGGAGCTATGTGGCCATGTTTTATAGACATCCAAAATGTGTTGACTTTGCACGAAATATATCTTAACTAATAAGATAAGTTTTCAATATGTACACTACATAGTTAGCTTGTTTCATAAACTATTAACATGTGGTTAACTTGTTGATCAAGTTTCTAACCTACCAATCAACTATAAATATATGTAAAGTCAAAACAACGTCTATGAAGCTTTTAAGAAGTTTTT